CGCCAGGAGTATGACTACGATGAGGACTTCCCGGCCGAGGATGAGGCGGAGGAGCCCGTCACCGCCCCGGAGCCGGAGCCGGAGCCCGAGCCCGAGCCCGAGCCCGAGCCTTCCCCCTCGCCGTCGCCGGAGCCCGAGGAGCCGGTTGCCATCCCGGACTACCTGGTGGCCATTGAGGACGCCATCACGCCGGCCATGCGGATGCTGCAGCGCCTGGAGACCGAGGTGTTCGGGCCGCTGCAGGCGGCTGGCTCGTCGCTGGACGAGGCCACGGCGGCCGTGCTGGCCGGCGCGGCGGACCAGCTGTTCGAGGCGCGCGTGACCCTGTCGGCCGACCGGGACGCCGTGAAGGCCACCGTGGCGCAGACGGTGGTGCCGAAGCGGGTGGCCGCCAAGCAGAGCCTGGGGCCGCTGCTGGCCGGCCTGCCCCGTGATGGGGAGGTCGCCGAGGCGCTGGACCAGCTGGCCGGCCTGTGCGCCGAGGAGCAGCTCGCTGCCCCGGTGGACCTGGACATGCTGATGGACCTGCAGGCCAAGCTGGAGGGGTATCTGGAGTCGACCGACGGCGAGGAGGCCGGCGAGGCGCTGGAGCAGCTCCGCATCGCCGAGGCCGAGCAGGTTGCCTGGGACGAGTACCGGCGGTTCCTGAAGATCTGCGGCGAGCTGCTCAACCGGCTGGTGGGCACCGGCGAGGCGGCCAATGTGTCGCTGGCGGCCGGGGCCTCGCTGCGCACCATTCAGAAGGTGCTGGCGGACTACCATGCCGCGCAGCAGGGCCCGAAGAAGTCCCGCGGCAAGGACAGCGGCCGTGATGACCGCCGCGCGCGCCGTGCCCGCATGAAGGAGGCCACCATCGAGCGTCGTCAGGTGGAGGAGACTCAGCCGGTATGTGTGGCTTGGTTATGGCGGGGGGGGGGGGGCGATCCGTTTGCGGGCTTTTTTTTTCTCCTGTCTTCCTGTGGCCGCTTTGCTTTCTGACCGTGTACTTCCCCCCACGCGCCT